AAGCCCCGCGCGGGGCTCGCACGTGCGCGTCCAGCGACTGCCCTCCGGGCGGCGACCTCGCTCAGCAAGACCCGAGCCGGAGCCCGAGTCGTCGCGGCGACGGGAGGCAGTAAAAAGTGCCCGCCGTCGGAGGTGAGGGGCCCACGGTGTCCACTTTCCCACGCGAGGCCCCTGTCCTCCTCAGATTCTTGGAGGGAACTCCCGGGTTCAGAGCAGGTCTGCAAGGTCTGGCTTGCAAACGAGATTCAGAGCGATTTCGATGCGCAGCTACAGGCTGAGCTGCTTTCCTGCACATAATAAATGAAAATTTTTATTTTTTTCCCCCCTCTCTGTTTTTAAGAAATCTTGTTGCAAGGTCATTAATCACATTATCCATTATACGAGAAACAAATGGATTTGTCACTTGTTCACAGAAGCTGGAGTTGATTCTGAAAACAAATTGTATCAAAATAAATGAAATTATGATGATAATATAAAATGGACTGCAGTGATTAATCTCTAGATTCCAAAATCCTGACCTGTTTTGCACTTCAAACAATAGCTTCTGTTATGTAAATAGTTGTGGGGTTTTCAAGGACAATGTTGCCGCATTATAAGAAAAGTTCTATTCATGAAAATCTCTTCCTGGATAAAAAAAAAAAAAATTTTTTCTTTTCCTTCGTGTGGCAGGAAACTTGGTCTACACAGTACCCAAAGCAGAAGACAATAGAAGCAATGATGGTTCAGGTAAGAATATTCATTAGCAGAAAAGATGCAGGACAGGAGATGGGTGAATGAGTAATAGACTAACGTCTCTGTTAGTCTGCATTACCAAAAGATATCAGTGTCATATGTGACCTTGAGTAGACTCTATCTATGACCTTGAGTGGACTTCTATCTATGACCTTGAGTAGATTCCTTCTTCCTTTTTCAGCTCCTTGAAAACTCCCAAAGTCCAAAGAAGCCGACGTATATACAAATTACAATTATGAAGGCAACAAGGTTGCAAAGCACTTTGTACAGTGTTCCGTTTTAGATGATTCATAAGGCACCAAATCCAGACACGTTCAGAATTATTCAGATAAGTATGTGACTTTTTCATTTTCACTCATAGGTTTAATGTTCGTCTTTACTCATAGACCTCGTGGATCTTAACTGGATGTGACGTAGTGTGTTATTGTTTCTATATTGTTACATATATTCATCCTTTTTTGACACAGCCTGATACATTCATATTTGTAACTACTTGAAATAGAAGCATGTTCCTTTAATAATTAAATGAAATCAAGCACATTTTCAGAATTCTAATTTCCTCCTGAACAAAGAAAGCAGTGTACAAGAATAAAAATAGCATATATCCCCAAATAATTACTCTTAAGTGTCTTTAAAGAGATTCCAATATGAGAAGTGATCAGTGAAATTGCCAAAGCTAAGATGGAAAGACCAAGGCGTCTGAGATGTTGTTTTCTTCTTAGGCAGTATATGTAGAGGGCTTAGTTAACTGGGGATATGCTCTTTAGGGTTTTATCTTATCTTTCTGGCGCATCAAAACATCTACTGGCTTAGGAATTAGGGATCCAGTCTTAATACCAACTCTATCACTAAGTGGTTTGGGGCAAGTCTTTTCTCTCCTCTCTAGACTTCAGTTTCCATGTGTACAAAATAAGAGGATTAGATCAGACTCTCCAAAGGCACTTCCGGCTATACTCAAGAGCTTGATAGTTTGGGAGAGAAGAATCACTGTTCAATGTGAAGAATGTTTCAGAAGCCTGTTTTTTTTTTCCTGTGGGTGTTATGAATCACCTGTAGCCAAAGGTGAGTATGGAAAGACATGGTGGTTGTGTAACACAGCAGGTGAACCTTCACCCAAGTAGGTGCTGTAGCTGTGGTTAAAACCTGCTCTCGACAGCACAAAAACTCATCTTTGATTTACTCACAGCACAGCAGCCTTGTCTACCTGAAAGATCCTGCATGTATGACTAATGCTACCCATGAGGATGCTTATGTGAGTGGCAGAGACCAGGGCCCACAGATTTTCCTCCACTTGAAAAGTCGTGCAGATCTGTGGCAGTGAATCAGCTCCCCTTAATCTCTTAGTGTAACTGATGCTGCAGCATAGTAACCACCCACTCATTCACTATGTCTGCTGGTCCCAGGTCAGCTGAGAGCCCAGTATGGACTTAAGCTGTGTGCTGGGAATCCTGATGAGCTCATTCCGCCTCCATTTTATTGCCCCATCTGTCTGGTTCCCTCATTCTTCTCACATGCATTTTTATCTTGGTCTTCTGGGAAATGTGCTAATTTCCACCATGGTGTCAGAGGATTCCATATTATACTTTCTTACATTTCCTCCTCTCTTTCTCAGTGCCACTTGGGAAGTCAAGAATGGGAGTGTGAGCTCAATAACAGAATCCAAGGACAGCTTCCTGCAAACATGATTCACGAACTGTCCTTGGTGCTGAATTACAATAGAAAGGGAAGGGGGGGAGAGAGAGAGAGAGAAAGAGAGAGAGAGAGAGAGAGAGAGAGAGAGAGAGAGAGAGAGAGAGAGAGAGAGAGAGAGAGTGTGTGTGTGTAGGATTCAGTGTCGACACAACATAATTTGGAGGCCCAAGAGAGGATCCTAATACCCTTTTATGCATAAAATGCTAAGGCATTTTCAAGAGTGGATTTTTCACTAGATTGAACTGCATGGTAGAGTGGGAAGAGCTTGAGCTTTGGAGTCAAGACAGCTCCTGTTTCAGTCCCAGTTTTATGACTTGCCATTTGACCTTGAGAGAATGGCTTAACCTCCGTGAGCCTCGGTCTCCTCATCTCTAAAATCAAAGCTAAATTTTTCACAAAGCATGTTGTCAGGCTTAAGTGAGATAATGTATGTGAACATGTTTGGCATATAGTAGGTGCACAGTAGATGCTGATTGTCATTTTCTTCTTTTCTCCACTGAACTCAGAACTTAATTATGTAAGTCCTTTTAAAAACAACATTGACATTTTCCCTTATTTTCTACAATATTCTTTATAATTAAATAAGGCAAGAATACTAGAGAAATAGCAGGTCAACCTCATTGGAAGAAAGAAAGAATGAGAACTTCACGAAAACTTAGTAGTGTCTCAGCAAGAAAAATATATCCTATTGTGTAGGTTTTTAAAAATAAAAAAAGATAAAGTACGGTATTATTGAACTTTAATTAGAGGATCCAGTCAAAGTAAACTATTTCACACCTACACTTAGAGTATATTACTAAACTGTGTGCCTGGACACAGCTAAAAGACTTATAATATTTTGCATCTCAGTGATTCTGAGTTTGTATTGCTATGGGATCCAGATAGATATAAGCTCCCCAGATAAAGCAAGTGTTCTTTCTTCAGTGCATCTGAGTTCTTCTTGAATAATGTATTTCTAGTTTAATTTTGGGAACATGTGATATGGGACACTGAGTTTCAGGAAGTGTTCCTGTACAAGTATATGATCACATGTGGCTGGAGAGCCATGATTTTGGGGGAATTGATTAATGTTACCTAACTGATTTCAACAAACAAAGAAGACTTTTGGTGGCAACCTCTGGTTTCAAGCAATAGAACAAGTTGCTGGATAAACCAGCAGTTTTTAACAGTAAAGGCTAATATACTGGGGGTAGGAGGAGGTTGAAGAAAGGAATCTCATCAACTTTGTTTGCTTTGAGGAAATCTAAGAAGGTAGTCTCAATTTCTCTATATTAGGAAACACTAAGAAAGTGCCCCACTTTTACAAAAGTTACAAGTAGTGGAAATTGGCCTATTTTTGATAAAGACTTGTAGCTCAATATCTCTCTATGACTTAGTCATGCAGGTAGCTTGCATGAAATCTTTGAAAGTGAGAGTTTGAAGAGATTTTATAGAATTTTGAGGACTAGGAAATAGTTTTAGAAAGGTTAAAAAGTCATATTGTAGTTAGAAGGAATAACTTCTGGTGTTCCATAGCACTGTGGGGTGACTATAGCTGACAATAATTTATTGTATATTTTCAAATAGATAGAAAAGAGGATTTTAAATATTCTCAACACAAAGAAATGATACATGTTTGAGGTGATAGGTATGCTAATTACCCTGATTTGATCATTACACC